CTGTCTTATCTTAAATGCATTATTCCATAAAAAATTAATATTCCATGTATAGATACTTGTTATTCTATATGTTCAAAAATTATTGAAATAATTAGAAAAATTTATTTCTAGTTATTTCACAGCAATTTATTTCAATATTTGTTTAAAGAAGTAAATAGAATTTTGACACAAAGAAAATAAAATTTAATAAGATTATATATTTTTTTTGTTAAGTTTATACAAACAAATTAATATATTATTATATTACTTTTAAATAAGATTAAAATAGATAGGCCTAGATCTCATTTTGAAACTTACTTTATTTCTTACTTTCTTACAATAATAATTAATCTGACATTTGTATTTTGGAACTTAACCAAACCTTTGAAATGTTGTTTAAAAGGTAACTCTGTCGTTCAGTGCACTTTCCTATAATCATTTGTAATGTGTAGTATTCATGGAATGTGTTCTGCTTTAACTGCAGGACATCTTTCTATACAAATTGTACTTAAAGTTAATTAGAAACTTTTGACATTTTGCTATTTCATAGTTTCCCTAAAAGCAACCATTCTCCTAGAAAGCTATAATTCAACCAATATTGGCATATTGGATTTGTTCATTCATTCTATCATGTTAACCAATGCTATTATTGTCAGAAATACAGAGGAAAATTTGTTGGTACATTTGATACTGTCATGATTGTTAGTGACAAAAACAGCTGCTGTAATTACTCACTGGAAAATTACAACCAATTCTACCAATCACAATACTCTTTGACACTTTTTGGCATTGATCTATTTGGATGCTTTCCTCTCTTGAGAAATGATAATGGATTGGATTATATTCTCCATTGATCATATCTCCTGATATGCTGATTATTAAACTTGTTTGAACAAAGTAATGCTAATGTTTAATGTTAATTAATTTTTAAAAATTTGAAAAAGAAACAATTTATAATAAGAATTAAAATAGCAGAACTTTTATGTATTGAAAATATTGCCTGTTAACTGTAATTGAATACTTTAGTTTTGATACTTCTCTAATTATAATAATTATAGATTATAAATACAGCCATTATGGCTTATCATTATTCTCTAGTACCAAGCAATATTAAGTATTTTGTAAAAATGACAATTTTAAAAAGTTGTAATTTGTATAGTTATAATAATTTTTATAGCCACAATGTTAAAACTTTCATGTTTGTTGATATATCTATTTGAATGTATTTTGTAATTAAAATTAATCAAATTATTTGCTGTGATTACTTATCATACATAATGTGGATAATAATAATATATATTTTAAATAGTTGTTTCTGTCTAATATATAAAACTTATTCTACTATGATTAGAATTTAATTAATTACCAGATTTTAACTACATATATATATTTGCTTATTATTACTTAAAGCAAAATGAAATTTTAATACAAAAATCAATTGTATTTATGAAACTATATGCTTTTAATAGAGCATCTATTCCAATCACTTTATTATTTAAAAATAATTTTATCAGAATAATAATTGAAACATTGTTTAAGTAATACATTCAATTTTTTTTAAATAACTGATAAATAATAAAGCATAAAATAAAATATAAAAATTTAACATTAGTGTACAGAAATATTACAGTAAATAAAATTCTTCACATAGTTATATTAATATATATAAAAAACATTTAAATAATATTCATTGAATGTATCAAAAATATAATAATAATAATATTTATACAGTTAAAGTTGAATGTTTTTGATTCTATATTGCTATATTTATATATTTATAATTGTTTGCACAAGATTTAAAGCAAATAGTAATAATACTTTTTGTTGATATTGTATGTGTGTGTGCATATTGTACTGCGTAGAATTTCAATATAATAATATAAATTAATATAAATATGTATAATTAAAAAATGTTTTTCTTTTCAATTTTTTTATATATGAGAACAAATAATCATATAAAATATGCTTTAGTTTTAAATGTCAATGCTTATGCTTGATGATAATAATAGTAATTTAGTGATTTTAATTATTTAAAAATGAATTTCTTAAAGTCAAATTATAATAAATATTTTATATTAATACTATTTCCTCAAAATACCAGAAAATTTACCAAAAATAATTCATGATATTAAGCAGTTTGTTTAAAATATATACAGCAGTAAAATAATTACAGTACCGGTATTTTTAAAAGCACTTTTGCTCACAAACAACTCAAACTTTTTCAGTTTATGCTGTTCTAAAATGAATCAAATTCAAATTGGACTGCTTTGGTTGGATAGTTTAAATGTTTGAAAGAGTATATTTCTGTGGAAGCAATAGCATGGCTTTATATTTGAAAATATTTGAAATTTTGAACATGGAAGCATTGCACTCATTAAATATTTTAATATATAATGCCTCCACCAAGAATGAAATTTCTTGATTTTGTGGCATAAACACACTAATAAGTTACAGACTAATTTCTCTTCTAATTGTTATGGGTATCTTATAATTTTTATTTTAATAAATCAACAATATATTAAATTATAGTTTAGTAATTCACAAAAATTAAATAAAAATTAAATTCACAAAAATAATAAAAATTAACAACAAAAATTTATGTAACATAAATAACAAACATTATAATATTTGATAATATGGCTTTGTATATCTGATAATGAACTATATATACATTTTAAAATATTTCTAATTAATTATTCTTGCAACTGTACTAATAATAATTTATTTTTTTAGGGGTTGGTATTGTTTTAATTACTGTAAGTGGTATTGCTTGGAGGTTAACTTCACATGATGCACCATCTTGTCGAGCTATGTTGGGATTACAAACCAATGATCAAGAACCAAATAGACGTTTTGTGCCTCGAGTGCCACCTTATGGACGTCCTCCTCATCCATATGCTGGTAAGTTAATCATATGTAGTTAAAATGAAAAATTATTGCTAAATAAAATACATACAATTTCTGTTGCTAACTTTAAAACAACCATTTCAACACAACATTTAAATAAGAATAATAATTCAATTACTATATATATAACAAGACTATCAAATGATTATAATGGATATATAAGAAACATAAAACATAAAAATACAATATTAAAAATTAAATACAAAAATAAAAAAATAGATTTTTCAAACATGTTTTAGTATTACCAATAACATTTTCAAATTATAAAATGAAAACAAATATTTATTAAGCACAGAAGGTAAAACATGGAAAGGTTTGAACAACTCATTCAAAAGCTTTTATGAGAACAAATGATAGTGTGACACAAAATTAATATAAAGTAGTTACAATAAAAAAATACATATAGATGTAAATTCTACATTGAACAAAGAAATAAAAGTTATTTGTATTATTTGTATGTCATGATCTCAAATTTTTTTTAAATAAAATAACAGAGGTTATTTTATTTTTTAAAATTTCTCATTTTTATAGTAATATTTCAGAAATATTACTATAGAAATTTTAGGCAGAGCAAAAAATAAGTAAACTTGAATATAAAAATTTGTTCACATTTTCATTCTTCCTGCTCTCATTGAAAAGTCTATTATTCATTAAAACTTTCTGAAAATACTTATACAGTAGAGTGTCGATTTTCCGAATCAATTGGGGACTGGGGTTGTCCGGATAACTGATATTTCGGATAACCGATTTACGTACGAAAAAATAGTTTAACGTATCCAATGTCGAAATTTTTATCCGTTGCGTGTCACTTCGCGTTGAATTTTCATCGATGAACAAAGACTATTGTATCATTAAAAATTATTTTTTTATTTTGTACAAACAAAATAAATATATTGAAAAATATAAAAATAATAAAAAATTATACTTCAGATGTTAATTTAGTATCAAAAACGTAAAATATTTGAGTAGCCCAAGACATAGCCAAAGATTGAAGTGCCACAGCACTGGCAAAAATTTAAATTTGCCGACTGGAATTCTTTCGGATGATTGACTTTCGGAAAATCGACGCTCTACTGTATTTAAAATGTCTGAGTTATATTCTTAACATTATAATGACACTGTTTAAATCCAACAGCAACTAAGATTTACTGGCAATTTTAAAGTTTTAATTTTGTTTATATCCAACAAAGTCAATAAAATGACTTACGTAGTTCTGGCTCTAGGCCTTTCATTTATTGAAATAAAATTTATCAGTGCTACACTATAAAGAAATTATTTAATATAGTATATTTATCATCTGTTAATATATATATTGATCGATACTAGATAATTATAAACATCAGTATTATCTAGCTTGGGATCCAATAAAAAAATTGATGTGAAATTTGGAGGAAAATTTATTAGAACAACTAAAGAGATAATTTTGTGAAACAAAATTATCCCTTTAGTTGTTCTAATAAATTAGATTCAATTTCAGCCACCAAGGTGATGATGTTGTTTGCATGTACAGTACAGATGTTTTTTATATGCAAATTACAGCATCATTCGAATAATAGATGTCATTTCTACTCAGGCAATAAATACTTTAAATATTGCTAATAACTTTAACAGATTACAGTATAAGATATTATAAGATCCTATAAGATCATTGATTTTTCCGTTTTATCTGAATTACATGTTGTACGAGTCACTTAGATTTTACAAATATGTGAGCCGTTCACAGCCCGGCACATGTATTTGTAAAATCTAAGTGACTCGTACAACATGTAATTCAGATAAAACGGAAAAATCAATGATCTTATAGGGGGGTCGACTGTATTTGCTTAATAAAACTTTATTTACTACATGTTAATTGTAGCCACATCTATTGGAGAATGTTCATATATTTAAGAATTAGTTTCTGGATACAAATGTTGAAAGTGCTTCTGTTAATACTAAGGAACTTTATTAATGCTGAACTCAGTGAATTAGTATCCAGAAATTATATAAAGCTTGGCATGAGTTTTTAAATTTAACTTTTTTATTTAAGAATTATTTTATTATTTCTTACATTTTCTCTTGCTCCATTTTATATTACTATATATGGAAAAGTATTTCTTATATATTGTTTAACATTCAAGTGACTGAAATTAAGTTATTTCTTTATTTTTTTGTTCGAAAAATTGTCTTTTATACATTCTGTACAACATAGGGAAGACAATTTTCAGAGAATATAAAAAAAATAGTTACAAATTTTTACTACCTTGCTTTTAGTCTATGCCAGGGATGGCAAACTTATGGCATATGTGCTTGATGTGGCATGTAATGGGAAATAATCTGGCATGTAAAGTATCATATCACTTTGATTTATCATATGTCTTTTTCAATCATCCTTTTGGTTTATCACCCAATTATCCTTTTTCAATCAGCTTTTTTGCATTTATTCTAATTAAAGTGTATTTGTTTAATTTCTTTAAATATCATTATTTAAAGTCTAAAATCTTAGTATGCATAACATCTTTAAGGCTAAGTATGCTTATAATATGGCATACAGGCTCAAAAAGGTTTGCCATCCCTGGTCTATGCTATTTATTTGCCCTTATAAATTTTTAAGAAAGGCATTGATACCATAGCATCTTCCCTGAAAACTTAATTTTTACATATTTTATTAAATGCAATATATATTTTTATTATACCTTTTCATGTTTGCTTTTTCATTGTGCTTGAACAATTAATGGATAGTTTTAGTAGAAATGGTCAGATGGCATTGACAATGAATTGTTAATTGCATTATAATATAATACATAATTCATAATTATATTTATAATATAGTTTGTAATTTAGAGTTGTAAGTTGTATTACAATTTATAATTTTAGATCTACAGAATTATTCTAATTATCTAATTCTAATTCAGCAGAATTATAAATTGTATTGTAATTTATTACTTTGTAAATTTCTACTATAAATGTTACTAAGTGTACCAGTATTCATTATATCTTCAGAATAGTTTTTTAACTTAAAATTTGATTAAGAAATGGTGTGACAGAATTTTGATATGTGTCATATTACACACATTACAATATAGATTTTATTATGTTGAAACAGTAATAAATCAATTTATAATATGATTGGCTTTTACATCCAAAATTAAGATAGTTTACATCATTATATAGGACGGGAATAAGGTATAAATTCAGTTTAATGATATTAATGTTAATACTAATATTGTTCTATTCTAAAAGTGTTCTTGAAGAATTTAATTTTATTAAGTATATGTTTAACATAAATTCTGTTAGACTGTATTTGATTGATCAAAACCAAAATATATAAAAGACTAAAACTTGACTTAATTTCACAGTTACTAAGTAATTTGGATTAAAGATAGGTAGTTAAGTTGCTATCTTGTATTAAATTAATGATTATATTAATTTTATGAATTAAATAAAATAAGTTAGACCAGGGGTCAGCTACCTATGGCATGCATGCTAAACATGGCACTTTGGGATGATTTTAGTGGCACTCTGATTGAATGGATATGTAGTAAAAACAAGCATTTATTTATTGTGACATTGTCACAATGCTAGGCTGCAATTTTTAATCATATTTTTAATTTATTTAGTTTTAAAAAACACATGCTCTCCACCTCAAATTAGTACTGTAGAGTCTTGTCTAGGATTTCTCTAATTGGATTCTGGGATCCTGGCTGTTTTTGTAACCTGGGAAATTCTTTTCATTCTGGAAAATCCTACAAATTTCTTAAAAAGTTCATTTTTTATTTATTTTGTGTTTAGATTGAGGAAATTTTGCAAATAGAAAGTATAATTAACTCACAAACTATCAGAATATATTTGTACAGTAATACCCCAAACTTACGCGATAGGTGGGACTGAGCAATAACAGCATAAGTCGAATTCGCGTAAGTCGGGGTATAATTTCTTAATTTGTGTAAAATCCAAGTCAGGTGTACGTAAGGTAATAAATGTTTTCGTTAATCTTATCTCGTCTTTTGATTTGTTGATTGTTACAAGAAATCAGCATATAGTCTCTCGAGTCTCCGTAGATATAACAAATACAGAAATAAATAACACAAAATAAATTGTAGTTATGTGTCGATTCCATGCAACACGTCCGAACATGTAAGCTGAACAATAGTATGGGGGGGAATGAGTAATCAAGAGTTGTGTGGCGCTCAAACAAAAGACGAATCGACGAGATTTGAAAATCGCGTAACTCCGGGTTTGCATAAGTCGAGGTATTACTGTATTTATTAATTTTAAGCCTGCTTATTAGTTTTTTAAATTTTTGCATGTTATGGTGTGTCAGATTGTTAATAATCAATATGTAGCCTATTTATGGCGGAACTCTGAAAATTCTTTACTTGTCAGAATCTGTAATATCTTGAATAATTGCGCTGGTGCTGTCTTAATTTTTAACCATGCCCAGTAGCTTCAATAACTGCATTATGTAAGGTTGTGCAAATTGAGCAAGGATACAAATGAGTATGAAGTATTCAAGTGGGAAGTTTTTCTTCATAAACCTGATTATTAGAACCAAACAAAAGAATTATTGGGCTATGAGCTTGATGCTGCTATTAAAGCAGCTGAGGTAGACAAATCAAGAATACTAGATAGCAAAAGAAGTACTGCAACGCATCTCGAAAACAAACTAGAAATCTTTGAAGATTCAGGTGAAAAACACGTAACATCTGTCTTCTCTTAAATGCATTAAAGACGATTCCACCCTCATCAATTGAATTGGAAAGGGCATTCTCGGTAGTAGGACTTTTCATTACTAAAATAAAAATCAGATTGAGTGATTGGAGTATTGACTCTCTTTGCTTTTTAAAATCTTATAAAAATTTACAATAATATCTTGTATTATGTTTTATTTAAAAAACAAAAATACCTTCTAAGTTAGAAGTTTGATCTAAGTTTTTTTTTTTTTTTTTGTAAGCAGTTTTTAACAAACTTTAATAAATTTTTCTACTTGTGAAAATTTCTATGTAATTCAAAGG